TTTTTTTGTATGGGTCCTTTTTTAAACAATAATAGGGCCCTTTAAAATGTTCTTAATTTTTCTGGTAATCAGATGAAGGCATAAAATATTAATTTAATTTATCCTAATCAAATGATAATTAAACCCTTTTATTTTTTGGCAAACAAAATGCTGCACAAAAGAGGTTTACTGTTAAAATTAAAAAGAAAACAGATGTGATTATTCCTTTAAAAGTAAAGATTTATTAATATTTACTAGCAGTAGTAGCATTGATTCTTAAGACCGCTAAATAGTAATATATTCTGACAGTTTAAGTTAAACTAAACTTTTATTTTGACGGGTTGCCGTGAAGAGCTTGCAGCTGCTGTGTATGTGATATGACGGTAGATTTCTCAAATGAAACGGTAAATGCTAATGAAGTGACTCAAATTTAATTTTTGTTAAAAATCTAATAACATAAAAACTCTGGACATTGTTTTAAAGTTTATGAATTATGTCACTGTCACTAAAACTATGATAACTATTCTGGACACATTTGACTTTTATTGCACAGAAAAATAGTAACACAGTCCTTAAGGGGGGCACTTTCCTCCAATGTTCCCCTCTATCTTACAGTAAAAGAAAATAAAGTCTAATGATTAAATCGGTGTCAGTTCAGTCGCATTTCTAGAAGAAACTTGAAACGAGACATTTTAATGACAGTTACGGTCTTATTTGTACATTAAGGATCTGCGGACACCCGGTGTCTGAAGCTTTGCTAGTTACTGTAATTAACCACAAACAGTCATTAAAGATGAATGAGTTATACCCTAACCCCTAAATTTCAACTTAGGAAAATTATATTTATTTTATTTATTTATTTTTTCCATTGTTGTTTTCAAAAATGTATTTTTGATTCTTTTAAAAAGTGAAGTTCAAAAAAATATTTTATATTATCTTTATGAAACTATGTTAAAAAATGTGTCTCGCATTTTCCATGTCACTACCGAAACAGTGCATGCTTCAGTTCATTGGCTGAGACTGAAATTAAGTAGACCTCTACATTTATGATCGGGAAATATGTATGTGTTTCTCTCTCTCATAGCTACAGGGGGAGTAGATAGGCCCCATCATTTTGAGGTAAATGTGTGCAAAAGTCTGAAAATTAAGCACACTTTTTTGGTAGTTATTCAATATCATTTAATTTGTATGTGTGTACAACTGTTCAGAACTGTGCTAGCTAAGCCTGTGCTGATTAGCATCTTTGAGATAGGTTTTAGTAGTGTTTTAGTATGCGAGTTAAAATTCTATGCAATGTGGTTGCTACCAAAGCATTACAGGCACTACCGAAACATGGGATGTTTTGTCAAAAATAAAGTATATTGAATTATAAACTAAGATGTTATTGTTTTTGGTTCAACTGAACTAATGAACCCTTAACTTTGAAATCAGTATGATCAACTTTTTGCCTTTAACTTTATTATACTATACTTGCATCAAGTAAAAAATCTAAAATTGTAAACAATACTAAATATCGACTTTACGTTTACGTCACATTATTTGGCACGTTATTAAACTATATACAAAAAAAATTATACACAATATTCAATATAAACTGTAGTTACATAAAATGTAACTTAAAACAAAAATGACAAAGTTCACTGGAGTGCATCGACGACTGGTGAAATGTCCGTAACTGCTGTACACTACTGTGTCCAATCCTGCGGACGTAGACATCATTTTTACGGGACAGAAAGTCTTCTTTTTGTATTTTTTTGTGTCCCTGAGTTGGTTTCTTGCACAGTCTACAGATCGGCAAGTTGTGTACACATGATACCCTGGCTCCGACTGGAGTAAGATTTTCGGTGTATTTTCTTTTGTACATTGTAGCTCGGGACCAGACTGGGGTGTTAGCTCTCTGTGATGTGTCTCCATGGCTGGAATGTGCTCGTACACAATCTGTTCGTAGTCAGGTGGAGGGAGAACCGACGGTTGACATGGTGCCGGAGGTACGTTTTTTGAAGAGATCGACGTAGTCTTTAACACGGTGGCAGATGGCATTCTTGTCGACTGCAGATTGATAAGCTTCTCCTGACGATGGATGAAATCACGCACCGTCTTCATGTTGATTTTTGGTAGAGGAATACCCACTTTACTGAGAACTGGATCCTCCACCAATACGCAGTGCTGAATTCGTTCGTAAGCCTTCAGGATGGCTGTCTTGTCTGGGCTTTGGCTTTTGGAAGTTAACCCCAACCAGAGTAGTTTCACCAGCGTGTACATGAGTCTGTTGTGCTGAGCACTGATGTCTTGTTGAGCTGAGGCATAGCGTTTGGCCAT